ATGGCTCCACATGGTGTTGGCTCAGGTCATGGACTCCATAGTCGCCGATGCACTGGTGTGTTAGCTGGAAAACTGTAACACCATCACGCCTGAGCAGCACGGCTTCCGTCGATAGCGGTCATACACAATGTATTTACTAATGGCATGCACTAGTTGGACGGAGTCAGCTGACGCTGGAGAAGGTGTTGATGTGATGTACCTGGATTTTTCGAAGGGTTTCGATCACCTAGATCATCGGATACTACTCTCCGAGATTCAGCATTACGGGATCGGCGACTCTCTTTTAAGCTGGATTGCCAACTTTCTGCTTCAAAGGCAATATTTGGTCGGAATTCGGAGCTCTTTATTCAACCACATACAAGTCTAGTGTGGTGTGCTGCAGGGCTTAGTTCTAAGTCCACGTTCGTTGTTGGTGCCTATTAATGACCTTGCACAGGGAATCGCTTCAACCTTCCTAATGGTTGGCGAGGATATCCAAATTTTGCACTGGATTCAGATGAACTCCGAGCGGCATCTGCTCCATACAGACCTAGATACGGTACATAAATGATCAGCCTATAACTAACGACATTTCAAGGTCTGTAAACGCAAGCTACTTTCCATCCGACATCAGAGCAGCAACTCATACCGGCTCGGAACGAATATACTGAAACCATCAACTCTCGAACGTGACTTCAGTGTCCTGGCTCAAGTTGACTTGGGCTGCTCCAGGCAATCCCCAAAGGCCTCGAAGACTGGAAACCAACACGTCGAGCTGTTGCGAAGTGCGTTTGGACAAATAAACAGCTCCATATTTCGACAACTGTTCAGTGCGTATGTTTGCCTACATGTTGAATCCACACTTCAAGCCTGGCATCCATGCTTGAAACACGATCTGAATGCACTGAAGCAGCCTCGACGTCGGGCTTCTAGTAACTTAATGGGAATGCGCAATCTATCATACGAGAAGAGGCTGAAACGATTTGGGATATTCAGTGAAAGTTACCGCCGCTTTTGAGGTGACTTGATAAGGGTGTACTTAATTCTGTACAATCCAAATCATGTATGCCGCTCTTTACTGCGACCCAAACGTAATACTAACCTGAGAGGGCAAACAGTACAACTGGCAGAACAGTATAGCAGTGTGGAGTGTCACAGAAATATTTTTTCCATTCTTGTCTGACACCCATGGAATGCTCTCCAAGAATCGGTCGTTGCTGCAACGGTACTAACAGTAGTTAACAGACGTTTGGATGATGTACTCATCCACTTACACTTTGTCACTTAGCACTAAGTCTCCATTCGACATCTGGAGTTTACCATGGATTTATTTGATGTTAACTGTGGGTGCTGTGAATCTAAGCGGATTGCAGGACTACAACGGAGCAAACGATACGTCCTTATTTTCATATTTTAAGTATAAACTGTTTTACTCGAATTAGGATTCTTATACTTATTATTATTATTATTATTTAGATATCCCCAACAACTATCCTACGAGACTTTAAAAATCAACGGTTCCTAACCCGTATAAATTCATTGTTCATGATTCTAAGTCAAAGCCGCCTGTCGATTTTTAGGTGTGTCATCTGGTTTTCGCTGTCACGGGGGAACAGTTGTAACAATGTAAGGTTGCACATCGTGCTTGTGTTCCGCCTAGTCGTTGTTCATTCAGACGACGGATGGGAAACGTTGTAACAAGGTAGAATACGCCGAAGGTTGAGGCATAAGTACTCGAAGCCCGATAGAATTAGTCGCAATAATCTCGCCGGGAGCAGTTTCTTAAATGCTACCATTGCGCAACTTCCTACAACACAGATCTAATATAAGGCTTAAGTTGTTAGGACATACGCCACCGATAATAGGCTCATGTACGTCGGTGATCGTAAAAGTGAACGTAAACTTTGACGTAGTCCTAGACTGAGCCATATTTGACGATCTTCCTCTAATTAGCAGACTGCAGCGTCATTCCAGGTGGCTGTAGCGAGCGTTTTTTCCAAGCAACTGGGTAGAACGCCTACCTTCGCGCCGGTGTCAACCAAAATGGAGGTTTGGTCGTGGAATTAAATAGGTACAAGTGGAGACTGATAATTCGCTCAGCAGCAGCCACCACTAGTACTGGCTGACTTTCTCGTTTCCCGATGTTGAATTAGCGAAAGCCTATGGGGGAGTACACTTAGACGGCAGTTCCCTATAGCATCATCAAAGCGGCAGCGAAAGTAGCAGTCAGGGTAACGTGATCGTGTGCGAGATTTATTGCGAATCCTGGCTCTGGAAGATCTTTGGTTTTCATTCGGTTACGTCTAATATGAGAAATAATGAGCTCAACATTTAAGCGCCTCTCATTAATAGAGTCCAGTGTGGCACTCAACGGAATGCTTGCAGTGACTGGCCCAAGCACATGGTTCATATAATATTTAAAGAAACTTTCGTGTACCTTATCTGATACTTATGTCAGTTTGTTTAGAGGGAAGCCATCCTCAAAAACTGGTAATATCGCTGTCGTGTCTTCTGGAAGACTCCGCTGTACTCACGCATGCCGCGGATTTTTGCTTTACGGTGCTGGATTACACGTTTGCTTTGGGATTACTGTGTTATAAGTGTGTTTCTGTGGGAAGTGTGCACCAATACCTTCCTTTTGGTGTATTTTTCCAGCTGTAAAAATTTGGTGGATATTTGCTGTTTAATTTCGGCAACCTCACTGATTGACCTAACTGACATCCATGTCCTCTATCTTGGATTTGTTCTACGGCAATCTAACCTGTGTCAGCCAGACCACCAGCTTGACCGACAGCCGCTGACTTCATCCTAATAGTGTACGCTTAGCAACAAACGACATCCGCAGAACTGACAGTCAAAATGGCAAGTACTGCTTGCCCACGGTGAGCTGAGGTTAAAGCTTCTGAAATGTATGTTGGTTGTAGCGCAGACAGGTGTGTTGGACTTGTGCGATTTGAAATAGAATGCAAAGATTGTCAAAACTATTTTCATCCTCGATGTGCTGGTCTTAGTCACAGCCATATGAAAAACTTATTAGTGAGACTGATTCCCTCTGGTTCTGCACTGAAGGTATGTCTATTCCACGCGTCAGATGGATGACTGTATTGGCACAGAAATGCGATAGGCTGACAAAGATTGTAGCAAAAGACTCAACCGTGAAAACTGTCCCACAGGAACCAGAGAAATCAGTGTCTCGAGTCTCATGCTCAACATTAACCTCCAATTCGGAACGGTGTAGCTGGGTTGGATAGAAGAGTAACGATCCAGAGTTAGCCACTCCGACACTAGAGGTTGCTCATAAAGATGCATCCGCCACACATTTTTCAACAAAAGCGCATGCCACATCTAACACAGTTAAAGAACCGACAACATACGCGTCCCTTGTTGCTACTCATATGATAGTTCTGGCGAAGAAATGATTTATCCAGGGCCGAGGAATCTGCAAGTTACTGCAAATGTCCAAGGAGATAAAACGGTGTACTATCGCCATATTCGACGTTTGAGAATAGCAATTACAGGCATACTTTGCCGGACGCAGTTTTTCGTTTTAGGATAGCTGCTTTAAGCTTTTCGTAGGGTAGAGGATATCAATAACTTCTGAAGCCATATGTGCAAGCAACTGAGCAGTAACATATGAAAACACTGTAAACTGCGAGGTAGTATTGCGAAAACGGAAGATGGATTCAGCTTAAACAACACTTACGTGGGTTTGGTACGTCGAAGAAAGGCAAGGAAAATGCAACGGAATTTTCAGATAAATATTCACAAATAGGGTAGTCAACAATGGTTAAGTTCGACTCATGCGTTCGGGGACAAGATGTGATTTGGCAAAGCCGACACAGCAAAAATTACGGCATATTTGGCAACCCAAACTTCTCCGTATGAATTGCTCGTTCACGTCCATAACTAACGATCCTAGTGAGCCGAGGAGACTCCTCTTCGACTCAATTATAAAACGATGAATAACTCAAACGTCCGCCAATCCGTCCGTGTCCAGTAATCGCATCCGTTACGTCCGTCCTCCATGGCTTGTCTGGCTCACTCATTTGGTCTATCCGTCTACTCCGATATGGCACTCCTAACGCAATGGTGAAAAAGTACTTGCGTTTGATAGAACGGAGTCATCAGTTAATGTAGTGGACCGTTACGTAAAATACGCGAGTCATGAAGCAAAATACAGCCCTAGGCAAATGCTCACACATTCGGAGTAGGATCTAACACGTTTGGGTTATAATCCCTCCCTTAAGTACCATCTGTCAGACACCGACTGCTGCTTCTAAACTATCTATCCGACTGCTGGGAAAACGTAGCAACAGTACAAGCACAGACAGCACCAAACAAAAACAACACGACGCAAGTGCGTTTATGGTCGTGCGTTCAGGAATCATCAGTTTAAACAAATGATACAACATGGTCGGTAACGGAATTGATAAGAAGAAAGATAAATTGGACGTATTCACAGCGGCTGCAAGGTATGGAATGTTTTCTAGATTGGTCAGACACGAATCTACTTCCCCATAAAGTTGGAGTGCTGTAAGGTAAAACACATGCGCTACAATGCAATTAGACTATATAGGCTAGGTGTCCACCACTTGAAGACCGCCTACCAACAAGCGGTCTGTGATTGTTGATCCAAGCTAACCTCGGCTGTCAGCCTTGGAGCGCTCTTCTAAATTGTGTCAATTATGCGCCCACTTCATCCATCTTTAAAAGCCGACTTGACGACGCATTAAATTAATTGCATTACTTGCCGTGAATCCCGCTCATCCAGTGAGGACAGATGCAAACATTGTGCTCACCAGCCCCTACGAAATCGGGCTGGAAGAGTTTCCATGTGTTTAAGGTGGTTCAAATGGTGAGTCCATTCATGCGTGGTTTACCTTGCTGGTACATATTGTCCTTGGAACTTGTGTAATTTACACATAGTATCGCACGGTACACGTCAAGCCGTGGCTTTCTTTACCCGTATTATACCACTGTATCATTTCCTGTACAAAATATAGTCAACTGAAATAACTCACTTTCTCTAATCGATCAGGCAACACTGATGGTAGGAATAGCTTCATCAGACTAGCTATTCCAGATTCATGCCTGTTAGGAATCCACTTCACCAGATGCTACGTTGTGATAAAGGGGAATCAGAAGAGAGGCAAATGGATGATCAGAATTGCACTTGGCCTTTGCACAAATACACATAATCAAGCAATCAGTATACATAATTAGTGTGGTATACTATGGATCCATTTGCGCCTTCTGAAGCGGCATGCCGGAAAGCAAAATTATGTTACCAGGACATGATCAAAGTGAGCCTCTCACTTTCTAATCTTGATTGCGTGTCATGGGAATCGAAGGCGGTTGGTCGGCGTGCATGGCGTGATCTAACCACGAAGGCAATTGCCGAAGTGCGGGAGAATGACCCCATACATGCAGAGAAGAAGCGGCAAGTGTGGAAGCAGCAAGCACCGATGGGTTGTACACCATTGATATCGAAAGCATGGTGCTGTAGCACATGCGGTCGCCAGTGCTTGAGTCAGGCAGGCCTAATGAGTCATGAGCGAGGCCACTCGGGACAACTACCGTAGCGACGACGGGTCGTGCAGAAAAAATACGCAGAACCGGCGCAGCGTTTGTAGGAACGCTACATTCGATGTACCAACAGCGTGCTTGCATGCTAAGTCTCTTTATTTCAGATGGTGCGTTTTAAATTTTGTCCTAATGCTTTTCTTTCCCATATAAATGTCTACCTGAACTCTATTCTATAAACCTGCACACGTCTCTTAAACAAATTGTAGTTAATTTTAATAACATTTTCGTGTTGGCGGCATTTCCAGAAAATATACTTTCTGAACTCGTGAACCTATCTCCGATACTTTTATAAACAACTGATTTCATTTGCTCATTAATTTAAGGTTTATGTCACCGTTTCCTTATGCATTATTCGATTTATTTTATTCGTTATCTTGCTCTCGAGTGACTGGCTGTTGCTTGATATCCCCTCGTGGCTGCGCTTGATATGCATGCTGACAAGGTGCCTACCTGTCTATTACCCATTACCTCGTCCATAATGAATCTAGGATACAGTTTGTCGTTGCTGGATGGGACGGGGTGCACGGTCCTTGTGGCTGTGTTAGGCTCCAAGAGTGGTTCCATGCACTTAGTGTGGAGCGGACTAGGATCCAGCCACCGCCTTATGTGCGCTTGATTCCCAAATACAGCGTATTTGTGTTTGCCTGTGAAGGAGTGTGGGCCGACTCCGTTGATGAAACGTGGCTCTCATCCACATGCCTCCCGGTCTTATTCGTTCGGGTTTACTCCGGATTTGGGGTGTGTGGATGGAGCTGTATGTGGTGCAGCGCAAGCCACCCATATTCCCTGTGTAAGCGCAGGCTTCCTGTGGCTGACCACAGTGACAGGCAAATCCGAAACCGGATGCCGCCAAGCATACTATGCCTCTGCAACATCCAAAAATGTACATGACCAGGTCACAGCCGTTGAGATTCAGTGATTTCATGGACTCGTAGAGTAAAGCAGCGCGTCTTCCAACATTCATTGGTTAAGGTGCACACTCGGATATCACGGAGGTTTCAAATGATTTCCCTAAACTCAGTCCATACGACATTAACACCAACATGCTATGAGCATTGGAACATCGGTTAAGGCTAGTTTTCGACTGACTCACAAAGAGATATCAATATATACACCACATCCACGACTACCCATAGAAGACGCAACGCTTTTGGAGGAGGGGTAATCCTGTATTACCGAAACGACTTACAGTGCGAAGCCTTGGAGGATTCAGGCTCGCAGTTTCCCGACTCTCTTTGGTGACGGTTGCAGTTAAAAGGCAGGGACGCTTGCCTTATTGTCTTGGTGTACCGCGCCCCTAACTCAAAACCCGAAATCGACTACCACTTAGGGGCTGCTTTAAGGTGCAGTTTACAACAAAAGTACACTCACTTTCTTATCATGGGTGATTTCAACGTACATTGTTTAGAAGCCCACACCACGATCGGAGAGCAATTCAAAACCGATTTACAAGATCTAGTAACTACTGTTCCTCTTTAAAACCACATCACTTTGCCCACTCGGTTCAGAACTAGTACCAGGCCTTCTGTGCTGGATCTTGTGCTTACCAACGAGGAGCTTATGATTGATGCGTTGGTTTTAGACTGCCCGTTGGGTCGCAGTGATCATGCAGTCATCAGTTTCCACTTCGTCTGCTATGCAGAATATCTGAATGATAACGATGAGACTATGCGAACCATCACAAGGTACGACCGACTCGCCCAGCTAGTCAGCGCCACAACATGGTCTTTCCTCGAAGAAGAACCCCCAGAAGTCGCCTGGCTCGAGTTCGTCAACATATTCAGTCAGCTGATTGCACAGGCTTCAGAGATAAAAGCTTGCAATAAGTGCAAATCAGTTTCTTTCGTTAGGAGCAGAACCCGAAAATGAATGACAGTACGCAACGCAGCATGGCGAGTGTACAGAGAAGCTCCAGTACCAGAAACTTGGGACAACTACGTAGCCCAACGTAACCACTGCACGCAACTTTTAAGAAAAGACAAAGCCGCCTATCAGCAGAACATTGCAAAAACCTTCAGTGCTAACCACAAACTGCTGTACAAGCACGTTAATAGCCTACGAAAGGTGAGGCAAGGATTTCCTCCAGTCAAGACGGCTGATGGCCCAATAGGAACATCTATGGAAGCTGCAAACGCGCTGCAGATGCAATACGCCCCCACGTTTCAAGGAGTCTTGCTACCAAGCGATCCACCAAGCTTTGTATTCTGCTCACCAGGACTAACCCACATCAATTTTACCGCAGAGGCTGTATTGCAAAAGCTGACTTCTCTACGCAAACACAGCTCGCCGGGTATGGACACCATTCGTCCAGAGGCACTGGGAGCAGCAGCAAACCAACTGGCAGGATATTTAGCTCAGTTTTGCCAGCACTGCTTAGACCAGAACCAAGTTCCCGCCATGTGGAAGCTTGGAATAATAAGCCCGATTCACAAAGGTGGAAGCAGAACTGATCCCTCAAACTACTGCCCAGTAACCCTTCTTCCTATACTCTCCAAAGTCATGGAATCCATAGTTGCCGATGCACGGGTGTGCTATCTGGAAAACTGCAACCTCATCACCCCTGAACAGCACGGTTTCCGTCGACAGCAGTCATGTACAACTAATGTACTAATTGCACGCAGTAGTTGGACCGAGGCAGCCGACGCTGGAGAAGGTGTTGATGTGATCTACCTGGATTTTTCCAAGGCTTTCGATCGTCCAGAACATCGGATACTACTATTCAAGCTGCAGCATTACGGGATCGGAGACCCTCTTTTAAGCTGGATCGCCAACTTTCTATTTCAACGGCAATTAGTGGTCAGAGTTCGGAGCTCTTTATCGGACCCCATACAAGTGGAGTGTGGTGTGCCGCAAGACTCGGTTCTTGGTCCACGTATGTTTTTGGTGTTTATTAATAACCTTGCACAGGGAATCGCTTCATACTTCCTAATGTTTGCCGACGATATCAAGATCTGGCGCAGGATCCAGGCGAACACCGAGCAAAATGTGCTTCAGAGTGATTTAGGTACGGTGTATCAATGGTCGACAAAAAACTTATTGCATTTCAACGCCAGTAAATGCAAGGTGCTTTCCATCCGACATCAAAGCAGCTAAGCATACCGACTCGGAACGGATGTACTGCAACAATTAACTGTCGAACATGACTTGGGTGTCCTGGTTCAAGAAGACTTGGGTTGTTCCAGGCAATCGGAAAAGGCCTCGAAGACCGGGAACCAACACGTCGGGCTGCTGAAGCGAGCGTTTGGACAAATAAACAGCTCCATATTTCGACAAATGCTCAGTGCGTATGTTCGTCCCCATGTCGAATATGCAATTCAAGCCTGGCATCCATGGCTGAAACACGACCTTAATGCACTGGAGCAGCCACAACGCCGGGCAGCTAAGAACGTAATTGGAATGCGCAACCTTTCATACCAAGAGAGGCTGCAACAACTGGGATTGTTCAGTGGAAGCTATCGCAGACTACGAGGCGACCTTATTATGGCATACTTGATTCTGCGAGACCCACATCACGTGTGCCGCCCATTACTGCAACTCAGCGGCAATACAAACCTGAGGGGCCACTCATTAAAACTCGCAGAACAATGCAGTCGTCTTGAGTGCCGCAGAAATTGCTTTTCCATCAGTGTCTGTCACCCGTGGAATGCTCTCCCAGAATCGGTCGTCTCTGCACCGGCACTAACAGTATTTAAAAGACGGTTGGACGATGCACTCATCCATTTACACTTTGTTACTTAACACTAGTCTCCATCCTACACCTGGAGGTTACCATGGAATTATTTGTTGTTAACTGTGGATGCTGTGAATCTAAGAGGATCGCAGGACTGCAGCGAAGCAAACGATAAGTCTTTATTTTCCTATTTAAAGTATTACCTATTTTACTATCCTTATCATCATTATTTTTATGTTGATATCCCTACCAACTATCCAACGGAACTTGTAAAGCAACGCTTCTTAACCCGTATAAATTCATTGTTCATTGTTCATTGAATTCATCATCAGAGAGTAGGGTCACTGTTTTGTAGTTAACCCGATATGGCGCTAGAGGTAACAACCATGCTACATGCAACAAACGTCGAAGCCTCGTAATTTGGTGGATCAAGCGAAGAAATTTGGAAACAATGATGAAGCGATGAGTCTGTGCCACTCTACATCTAGCCACTCCAGTGTCTGCTGACAGAGGCTTCTGCAGACTTCGCATGGGTCACGAGAGTTCAATGCGCTGTGTTCACATTCTATCTGATAAGAGCAAATAAGGTCGAAGTTGGTCATGGACTACATTCACTTTCGGGTGGGCAACATCTAATTTTCACATGGCAAATATTCTACTCAGACATGCTGAACTTGATAAAAGCTTGACTGCGCTGCAATGATGGCCTTACCACGTGCAGCGGTAGCGTCAGTAGTTTGCTGCACATGCACTAACATTAAAGACTAAATGCATTCGACTTTTTTAATGGACAGATGAGTTAAGGCTAAATAAGAATCACTTGTCGTGAACGTCGGTCATTCGGCGAAAAGCGATTAATGAGTAAACGAAAGAGGTGGGAAACTGCAATACAACTGGTACGGCGCTTTCACTAATAATTGACAGACGGAGCATTGCACCAGCTTCTCGCTCATATAGTCCTCCATATGCTCGGAAAAGCACTAGGCAGCCGTTTCGACATGTTCAGTCTCGTCAGTTGTTCACATCCATCGGCTCTATCAGGATCCGATCCTATAACTACCGGAGGCTTGAACCGATACCCAGCAGTTTATGCGACTGAGCCATGGGGATACCTGCGGACCTGAGTTTGTTTCCGATCCAGATGGACTTTTAGATCTCTGATAGTTAGCATCTTTCTTTTTCTTCTGTCTTAAGGTAGACTAATCAAAATTGGCTGTCGTAAACTGAGCGGTTTCCATTCACCCTTAGCACCAATCCATGGTGTGTCTCCCCCAGTTTGAGGTCATTAAGAGACGGCAATTCGGAAGTTGTGATTATTAGTAGACTGCCCCCTCTCTTTTTGTTAATTGGACATTTCAACTGGATAATGTGCGTTTCAGTTTAATGTACAGCTGCTGTCCAAATGGCCCAATGCCACCATCTGCTTTTTGCAAAGTACCCCGACGGATTGCTCCAACTACTGTGTGTTCCACACTCCTTTTTATTCTATGAGACTACGGCTGTGGGCAGCCCGTGCAGTACTCGTTGTAGTCTGATGTCTTGAGGAGGAGCTAATGGAAGAGTGGATCATATACCTTTACTCTGTGTGAGTGTGTTATCTTTCTCTCAGCTATTTAACATATACCGCTGTCTACCTCCTCACATTCTTCTTGGCACTGCAGCCACCGATCTATTGTTTGCTATTGTACTCGAGATTCAGTTCAAGCTGGTTAAGTTATACGGTAGACAGATTTGTGTTGCAGACCTTGGACAGTTTTATTCACCCTAACAGTTTGTAAACGCTAGATCCTATAAAGTTAAAAGCACAGCAAGGAAGCGTGTTGTCTCCTTACTACCATTAACAATAATCGATATGCACAGATATAGCCAACATTGGATGACAACAAACAAATTTGAGGTACGAAACGAATGACAAATATTCACACCTACGTCTAGTGCACCTTTAGACTGACAACTAATTGTTTTTGAACGCACAGGGATGGCTTCATCCGGTTTATTGCGACAGCCTCAGCAAGCCGAAAGAAAGCCAGGATAGGCGTGACTTGACACAACTTTGAACGCTAAGTCTGACTCTATCCATTGACCCGAGAACAATAGGTGTTTACCTATTAAGAAAAGTAGCAGTCTGCTCGAGCACAGAAGTTGTGAGTGGTATGGAATCTGAACTTCAAGCTAAACGCATCTCGACACATGCTACTTTATTCGGGAAGTCAGAGTCCTACTGGTCCCGTCTATGTGACTGGCTGCGCAGTCATACACAAATGGATGTACGCATTACGAGTTGGACCCGATAGACTGAGCTTCCTTTGTTGGAGGTATGGGCGAATTTCGGGTTGGGCTGATGACACCGACTTGTGCAGTATAGTAATTTCCTTGTGTAGGCAAGATTAGACGCTTAGTTGTCTTCAGACTGGTTTAGTCACCTTTGAAATGTAATGATTTCACCTATCCGCTAAATCAGGATCACATGCGTCTATTTGTGGATTCGCCCACCGGATTTCATGTAATATAAGCAACATGTCCATAGAAAAAGCCAACTCACCAGGTATTTGTCCATGTCATAAAGATGCCAGTAAAAGTCCTTGACATTCCACTTGCTGTATGTGGCTTGGACCAACGGGAGTGTTGCCCTCTCCACAATGACATGCACATGAATGGTGGTGCGTGTGTACTCTTCACGTGTGTCATTCAAGCATGTGGAGGTCGAATTTACTTGTATCTTATTTGCTGGGAGTCGGTGTTGGAAGTACAGGAGACTTTTGAGCATGGTAACTGATCGGTGAACAGTTTCATTGCCCCGGAGTAGTTGAACAATATGTATGCATTCGTCCGTTTCGGGTACTTTAGGTAAGACATTCATAGAAATCTGAAATAGTGTGAAATATAGTGTCTCGTAATTCTTTAGAAGACACTTGAACATAGTTTGCAGTCAGTGTAGTGTGCAGCAATAATTAACCGCTGTAACCAAGCAACCCGCTTTCAATGTGTCTTGACAGAGTTGAGTCGTCACAATTCACACAGCGTATCATTGGATCAATTATTCCCCCTCTCCCGCTTTCTTTATCCCAACTGTACCTTAGTAAGCTACCCCAGATTCCCATGTGAAATATAACCTTACGTTGCGCAAGTGATTGCTGTTTCACCTAGGATCTTTTCATGTCGGAATGCCAAATGATGCAAATTTGTTCGTCAAATCCACATCCTCGCTTGCGGGTCACGTTGATTTCACCCTGTGACTGTTGTACGAAGGACGCACTTTCAGACCTTCATCAGGATATGTGAATGAGCATGGATCAGGCCCTTTGCGACCTCAACCATAGTACCTACACTCCGACTACACACCACGGAGCTATGTGTGAATCTACCGGATGACTGAGTTCGACAAGAAAGAGGCCCAAAGGTTGACACCCAGCCTGGTTGCTCTGAAGCGGGTCCATAATCAGGTAATAATTATACACATGCAACTGTTCGCATCACTCAAGCCACGAGGTTCCCTTATATTCACTGAGGAATATAAACTAGATTTGATGACAGGTTGCCAGCTCGTTCAACCGTTAATATCCTGCATGCTGATAGCTTGTAAGAACTTGCAGTCATTTATCACATTGAGAATCGATTGTGTCACTGGACACCAAGCGAAATGTGATATTCTTAAATGGAGAAATCATTTATCTTGTAAAAGGATACACATCTTGTAAAAGTATACGCGTTCACTCTTCGCTTATCGTCCCTCGGGGTAGTCATCCCATCATCGCCTGTGGACAATCTCTATCTTTTTGCACTCCAGATCAAAAACCCCTGCCGTCCATTCAGCCCGTTCACTCACTGTCAACTTTTTGGACAATTGTTAAACATGCGCATGGGAGTTGGTTATACCACAATCCCCTGGTTGTTCGAACACCTGATTGTAATTCTATAAGCTACACAATAAGCTACACAACGATTGGGTCAGCTTATTGAATACTTTGCTGTACTACTGTAATCCCAAAACAGTAGTTCATTTACAACTGAATAACTTTGGTTTCCTTTTGAGGTATCAATATTTTTCCTAGATTCTCGGTGTGAATCCATATTGTGAACTTGGATCAAGGTGAATTATAAAGCGCCAGTCTACCCGGTTTGATAGAAGTTCTTCGGTTAATATGGTTTGCATTGACAATTAAAAATGTTCCAAACGTTTCCTTTCGGGTCAACTGGCAGTGGTTAACACTAATACCCGGTGGGTGCCTGTGTTTACGTGTCTCCTAATTTTCTCCTTTTGCTATTTGTCGTGAATTGCTAAGGGTATCTTTTTGCATTCCTTTCTACGATCAATACAGCTGGACTAAGCTCATACGGTCATAAAAGTTGATGACCTTACTAGCTGCAAACTAATCTATACTCTACCGCCCAAAGATTTCGTCCCAGCTTAATGGAAAAACGGTCTATTCAAACAACCTGAGCATATGACCAAGGAGATTGCCGCTAGTTATTCACGGGTACGAAGCTCAAAATTATGAACCTGTTGTAGACTTCGAGTAAATTCTCACAGCATACCAATTGGGATGTCTAGCAAGCTTCGGCTGAGAACATTACTATCTATTTAGGAATCTGAAATACGTTCAAATAGAGGTTATTTAACTGGTCGTGGTGAAAATGTAGGCGCCGCATCTGTAATTAGAGATGGGATTTTCCACCCAGCAACCATCTTCACGTCTGCTCAAGTTACTATCGGTTGGTTTACTGTAGCACAAACCACAACTGACAGTTACGTGGACTGTATACTTTTCAGCGCGTCAGCCACTTATGGAGAGAGTGATATTTGAGATGCCTGTACCAGCACTCATTCTTGGTGGTGAGACACTGGAGATTGTGGAGAGTTTAGTCTACCTGGTAAGCTGCTTTACTGCAAGTGGATCTGTTAGAAACAAGATTTCGATAGTATCACAAAAGCTCTTCTCGCTTTTATAGGCTGAGGAACTTGTGGGGCAGCCATGACATCCACCAAAGGGCTAGTTTATGGTGCAACTGTCCGCGCTGTACTGTGGTACGGATGCGAGACTTTGTCTGTTCCTATCGTTGACCTGTGATGGCTGTCTGTCTTCGAGCACCGTTGCTCGAGGACTGTTACCCATGTGTGGTGGGTGCACCACGCATCCAATGTGGAAGTTCGACAGCATATCTTGACTTGGGGTAGCCACTCGGTCGAGGTGTTCGTCCAGCTGCGGTGGCTTGGACACGTATTGCGCATGTCGTTCATCGTCTTTCGCGTTGAACTTGGCATGCAGTGGTTGGACAGGACTGGAGGAGGAGGCGCGGTGGACATCCTACGACTTGGAGAAGCGGCATGAAATATCTGACTAAACCTTTGGCTTCCGCCGGTTATTCTCGATTACCAGGTTAGGATTTCAGAGATCCAGTATGTTGCTGGTTAGTAAACCCTAGAAGTCATCATCGCTCAAAGCCGACGTCAATGACAGACATGCTTATACGTGTTGCGGATATTTCGTTTCTCTACCTCAGAATAATCTTAAAAATGAGTGAAAAACTGCACAATGATGCATGTCTTTTATTCTGCCATGAATCCGATGGCACAATATCTGTAGCACAGATCGGGATATATATATATATATATATATATATATATATATATGACGCTGGGAGGGCACCTCGGGTGTTCAATGGTTTGCTACTGCCCGCATCAAGCCAGGGAACTCCTGGTCAAATTGGTGCAAACCAGCCAAAACCCGCCTGCGTCTGGCCGCGGTCGCAGGTGCGTATTCTACCACGGTCGAAAAACGTATTTAAATCGTTCCAGTACCTCCAGGGCTGTGTGTGACGGCCGTCAAGCAGATCCCCATCTGTCTCTGCAATAACACTCCCGAACTGGATCTGCTCCCTACTGCCTTGTGGGTCAGGTTATTGGGCTAAAGGCTCCGGGTGGAGTCCCTGAAGCAAACCTCCGAAGCACAACGACCACCTCGTGTGCGATTGCCCACCAATGCAATCGTATGCCTGCGCGCAAAGCACTCAGCATCGGGTGCTGGAACGTGCGCATACAACTGGACCGGAACTCCGGTGAGAGCCCCGAGCAACGAACTGCACTGGTCGCGATGGAGCTGGCGCGTTTCCAAATCGATATTACGGCGGTCACTGAAACTCGGCTCGCTGAGCAAGGTAAGTTGCATGAAGCAAGTGCTGGTTACACATTATACTGGGTGGGCAACACCGCCTCAGCACCATGTGATCGTGGGGTCGGATTTGCAATATCTGATCGCCTCCATGGCCAGCTGGTGGGTGAACCAACAGGCATCAGCGCGCGACTGATGACCGTTCACCTACGACTCGGAAGAGGTAAGTTTGCTACTTTTATAAGCATGTACGGTCCGACCATGTGTTATCCTGATGACAAACGTGATCAATTCTACACTGAGCTATACTCCGTGATCCGGTCTGTGCCGAGGAGCGACCGGCTATTTCTGCTGGGTGATTTCAACGCGCGCGTTGGGCATGATGCATCGGTGTGGACAGGCGTTGTCGGTCCGCAGGGTATTCGTTCAGCGAATGTGAACGGTGATAGACTGCTCTCAATGTGTGCCACTCACGGCCTGACGAGCACGAACACTCGGTTTGCAATGAATGCGAGTGATATAGCAACTTTGAAGCACCCACGGAGTGGTCACGCTCACCTGCTCGACTATGTCATCGTACGTCAGCGTTATATGCGTGAAGTGCGCATCACACGTGTACTGCGTGGAGCTGAGTGTGGCACTGATCACAAGTTGGTGCGGACCAAACTGTACATGTATTTTCGTAAATCTATGTATTGCACTCCCGCCGTGAATCGGCGTAAATTTAACATTCTCTCCCTCGGCACTGTGGCGAAACGTACTGAGCTGGGGAAGGCGATGGCTGCACGCCTGTGTGATGTGGAATGCATAACCACAGTGGGCGACCTGTGGCACCACATTCGCGACCAGGTGACAGCTGCTGCCGAGGAGTCGATCGTGCGCGCAAACTGCAAGTGGCCTGATTGGTTTGATGACAACAAGGCGACGATTGGGGCATTGGTGTCGGGGAAGAACGCAGCATTTGCTGCACATGTCGCAGACCCCGGTGACTTGGGGAGGAGTAGTCAGTTTCGCAAACTTCGACGGCGACTGACCCGAGCGCTCCGTCGCATTTAAATGCATGGTGGATGAGGAAGGCGAAGCAGATGAAATGCTACGCCGAACGCCGTCAGCACAAGGAATTCTTTGAATCCTTGAAGGCGGTGTATGGACCAAGATTGGAGCCGCTGTGGAAGCTGATCGATGGTAGCTCAGGCGCTACCTGCACACAGACTGCAGACATAATGCAGGTCTGGCGAAAACACTTTGACTGTCTCTTAAACAACCGTTCAGAGATCGACTGACCTACATTGAACGGCCTCAAGCAACACGATGTGAAGACGAGTCTAGCGGACACGCCAACACTGGACGAGACGCAGACAGCACTTGCTCATATGCGAAACGGAAAATGTGCCGGAGCTGACGGGATCCCGTCTGAAGTATTGCAACACGGCGGACCCGCGTTGTTGACTGCGCTGCATCACTTGGTGCAACGTGTATGGATTGAGGATGAGGTGCATGCTGAGCTGAAGGATGCCCTTGTGCTACCACTGTACAAGGGAAAGCGTAGCAAGCAATGTTGCAAGAATTATTGTGGCATCAACTTGCTGAGTTGTGTGGGCAAGGTGATTGCCCGAATCCTGCTGAACCGCCTCGTCAGTCAGGTTGTGGAACCTAACGTGGCAGAAGAGCAGTGCGGATACCGTTCAGGTCGCAGCACTATAGATATGGTGTTTGCGGTTCATCAGTTGCAGGAGAAGTGCAGAGAACGATACCA